CAGGGGTGGCGATGGGGAGGGGTGGCGATGGGGAGGGTGGGCTCGCACGGGGCGGCTTGCGGCCGAGAGAGGCAGATCGACGGACAGCCGGCGGCGGGGGAGTTGAGCGCGGAGGGGCGGAGGGAGCGCGGGGAGCGCGTGGGCGAGGGCTTGCGCGAGGAGGAGGCCGAGGTTGAGGAGGGCGGGGCGCCGGCGGGGACTAGGGCGGCCCAGGCGGCGATGCCGGTGGGGCTGGTGCACGGCCAGTGCGTCGAGGTGGAGGGCATGGCGAACGAGCCGGATCGGTCGTCGTCGTCTTCGAGGGCGAAGTCGTCGATGTCGGTGTCGGGCGCGGCGGCGGGTCGAAGGGCGGGGGCGGTGTGGAATGCGGCGCCGAGCCCGACCGCGTTGGCGGCTCGGGCTGGGCGGCGGGTCGAAGGGCGGGGGCAGGGTGGAATGCGGCAACGAGCCCGACCGCGTTGGCGGCTCGGGCTCGGGGCTGGTCGACAGGTGAGGGCGGGGGCGGAAGCTGCGCCGAGCGCGACCGCGTTGGCGGCTCGCGCTCGGGGCTGTTCGCAAGGCGTGGGCTCGACGAGCCGGGCTGGGCTGGTCGAGGAGGCAGAGGCGAGGGAGCGTCGACGAGGGGAGGCGGTGGGATCGCAGCTTGTCGAGGGCGAGGGTGCGGGGGCAGGGACGTGGACTTGTGTTGGGCTGTGGCCGCGTCAAACATCGGTCACGTGACCGTTGGTTGGTGTCGACGCGGCCGCGGCATCATTCCCAGTGGAAACGACCAATTTTCACCTGGGATGTGCCGGGATACGACGTCGGAAGCTCGCTAACGGCTGGATGAGGCTGGACACCAGAGGTTGCGCTCGATATTCGTTGCCGAGATGCAATTTTGTGGATCAGACGCGTGGGAAAGTGCTCACCTGTGCACACAGGCGTGGCTGCTACAGCCTGCGATATCCGCTCCTAACGTCTATCAACCTATTCCACCATTTCTGTACATATTGGCTCACTCTCGGCGCTACACATCGACTTCACAGTTTGTCCAAGTCGTACGAGACATGTGACCAGGTTGGTTGGAGGCTCGCCGCTGGTCTCAGAGCCTGCCACTTGCCTCCGCCTTCACTCATCTCGTTCACGCACCTATCCTAAGAGCACAACCAACCAGCATCTCGTGAATCTCCAATATTGCACTTCAGGTTAGGTTCCTGCGGGGCACTGGCACCTATACCCGTCGGAACTGTGGTACTCCCGGTCGCCAGCATAGCAGGTTGGTCGCCTTCATCGCAGACAGCCATGGTCATGGCCTTGTTACTTGTGATAATTCTTTTTTGCAATAGTTACCTGAAGCTGCGACTTCGACTTCCGGAGCTGGACAGAAACGGATGGCAAGCAGTCCTGCCGCATATCGAAACCCGTACGTCCATGCCCGGTGTATACATACACACTCTAGGTTCATGTTTTCCTCGCACTTAGTTTCATGTCGATGTTGACTTGCAAGTCGTACGTCACTTTTCTCTGCACTGCCCATCGTCAGATCATTGATCCGATCATTATAGCTCAAATCTTCTCTCGAAGCCGCCGAGCCGCCCTCATGGGTCCCTGAGGTCGTGAGCGACACGATCAACGCGAGTGAGAATACCTATTCGCCACGTTGTCCCTCCCTGCTGCCACATGTGCTCATGAACGCAGCTTTTACTCCTTGCAAGGCCGCCAAACTTCCTTCGCCGATCACAACGTGGACCTTATAGATGAGATCCAGGCGAGCATCCCAGGTGTCGCGACTTTGGAGGTATAACTGTTTCCCGAGTCCATTCCCTGTTAACAGATGGAGACCTTCCACATCCTGCACCTCGCCGCCTCCTAGCCGGCACGCACCTCGCCAGCCCCACACTGAGCCGAACAACCCGAGCTCGATATGCCTCCTGGGGAGGACAAGCTGGCCCCCTCCACCTCTCGCTCGGCACGCTTCACGCCGCTCCTGCCCAACACCCATATCCGCGCGGCGGCGACGCAGATGGTCCTTGCCCAGCAACTCTCGCAGGATTTTATCACCCCGGAGGTCGCGGAGCTCGAGGCATGGGCAAGCAAGGGCGTGCCATTGACTCGAACTAGCTCGAATACAGGTAGCAGCCCAGGACAAAGGTGATGCTGGTGAGCGGGGAGTTCGGGGATCTGTTCCGTCCTGATGTTCTCTCGGATGGTACAGTATACTATACTATTTCTTGTATATAAACTCTTCCACCATCACCCATATCTGTGATTAATCTGAATGAATCTCAAGAGATTGCCTGCGTGCAGAGTGGACAAGATTATGTTTGAGTAACTTTTCTGGTGAATCGCCCACACCCGGTGAGATTCAGTGCACAGTGCCGGATTTGTGTATTAGACGGGATGGTTTGGACTACTTGGGCTCTGGGAATCGATGACAACCTGTATGATTCTGAAGTTTGTCGGTGATATCGCTCGAGTGGTTCATATCCTACAGAGAACCGACAACATTCTGTATCAACATTTCGCAAAGCAGTGGCTGTGTGGTTAGTCTCAAAATCATGTATGGCCGCAGTTGTCTCCGGATGACAGCGAGCTCCTGCGAGGTCGCTTCACTCTTGTGCTTCGCTCGCTTATGCTGTGATTCCTCCCGGAACATCCTGCGTGAACTGCTCTCAAAATTGGCAGTTTTCACTGGGCATCATTGGTCACGTGACCGCCGGTCCAAACCCGAATTTCTGCTAAGTCCACATTGATCCTAGTGTACTGTGTTATAGTTAATGTTTATATATAAGCTTATATGATACTATGCACTGATACTTCACTGTACAGGCTGACTATTACCCCAAAACCACTGAAGATCATAACATAGTGTGAGTTGGAAAGTCTGCTATAGTTGCTATATAAGTATGTACCAAAACTATGGGTGCTATATAGACATATATCCAAAGCTATGGGTGCTATATGGACGTCACTATGAGCTATGCATTGCTATATAGCTGGTGTATTAAGCTATAAATTGCTATGTAGCACCCCATAGCGACTGTCATAGTCTACATAGCGCTCTATAGCAGCTAGCTGATCACTCCATAGTGCACATAGAGCTACTATAGCAACAAGTAGTTCAAAGGGG